AGGAAAAAATTATTAATCAAAGTAGTTTAATGCCTATTCATGAGCATAAATTTCTAATAAATAAGTTGAAGAAAAATAAATATTCTTGTAAGATACGTGTGAGTTATTTCAAAATAGAAATAATAAAAACATTTCGCAAAAATTCAAATTATTTCTGACGAATGGATGGAAAAAGGCAGAAAGGAAAAGTGTCGAACGCGAAAATAATACAAATGCCGCTAGATAGAAATATTGAAAATGAGAATGTAGTCAAGTACAAATCTCCCACAGTCTCCGCCTGAATCTTACATCCACATCTTCATCGCACATTTTCGTTTTTGGATATTTTTCCGTTCTGCCTTTTTCGATCATACCTTTTGGACTTCTTGATTGATATGTTTAAAATATGTGAAAATTGGCTAGAGCTAAGCGGAATAAGACTTTGTTACGAAGCGGAAAACGTATAATAACAATGCATCAATAATTAAATTTTTTTTCTTTAGTTCAATGTTATTTGAATGACGACGTTGGGTTTAACTTGTTGGTTTTTCGGTATCACGAGGATGTCGTCGCCGACTATTGAAAAATATAAAGTATGAATTTTCGTTTTCAATCTTTTTCTTAAACAGACCGTGTTTTTTTGTTCGCTGTTGCCTGATTTGCGTCGGTATATAATTCTGGTTGATCAACGGCTGTTGAGCTTTTTTTATTTTTGTTTGAAGAGTTCTCACGACCTTCCATTACTTTAGCTTGACACCCGCTAGTGTTTCCTTCTAAATGAGTATAAACTGTACTATCTATACGAATCATCATATCTATTTACGATTATCTGTTTTTCCCACTTCATTCAAGTTTCTTTTCTTTGAATGTGATATATTAACTTGAAGACGTGTATTCCATTGTGGAATATGTTTACCTAGATATAAAAAAAACTAGATAATTCCATTATATATTTTAAAGATATTACATACCATTATATTCCACAACTGCAGCAGCGGCTGATTCCTTGTTGATAAAAACTATTTTTGCGCTACATGGGCTGTTCCCTTTGTTTGAATTTTTAAAAATAAATATTTCGACCTGTTTATTGTTTGCATTATACTAAAAGAATGTTAAAATATAAGTCATGAGCAAGCACCTGTTTATTAAGTTTTTAGCAATAGGACTGATCTTCGAACGTATTTATACTTAGGACATACCAAAAGTAGTGACGTCATTATCTTATGTCTTTAGTAGAAAGCTTTAATAAATTTTATTTTTTTATGTAGTGATAGAGAAAACGACGCTCTATCTTTCTGTTCTATTTGATCACTCTTCAACTAATCTCATAATAATAAAATTTCGATAAGAACTGTTTTTGTGTACATCTTCACTAATTTGTGAGTCAGATTATGCGGCCACACTTTGTATCTTTTGTCTTTCAGTTTTCAATCATTCAATAAATTGTATTAAAAAACAAAGTATACCACTAGATGCAGCGTGAAAAGCTCTACAATTTTTAAAGATCAGCTTATTTTATATTTCAGATAAAAAACAAGAAATTTTCTTATAGAAAAAAATGATTTTTTTTGTATAGTCGGAGAAATTTTACTTTTTTTGGAAACGAGAAGTACGCAATTAACATAAGCGATCTGATACGGGTTGTAGGGCTTTTTGCGTTGCATCTTTTGATCTATTGTGTTTTTGGAAATAACAGATATCAGATGGTAAAGAGATGAAAATAAGCAAAAATGAATTGATCTTGTACCAAAAAAAGATGTCGCTTTTGTAAGGCCGAAAATCGATCGCTGAAAATTTCGCTTATTATGAGAACAAAAAGTGCAACTATAAAATAAGCGGTCTTACGTAAATGGTAGAGCTTTTCATGCTGTATCGAGTGGTTTATTTTATTTTTTTGATACAACCTATTTAGTGATTGAAAACTGGAATGCAAAGCGTGGCCATTTAATCGACCTCACATATTAGTGATGTTGTATACAAAAACAGTTCTTGTCGAAATTTTATTATTATGAGATTAGTTGAAGAGTGATCAAATAGAACAGAAAAATAGAGCGTCATTTTTTCTATCAATACATGAAAAAAGAAAATTCATTAAAGCTTTCTACTAAAGGCATAAGATAATGGCGTCAGTACTTTTGGTGTGCTCTAAGTATATCAAGTTATGTTGTATTCAACTAATTTTATACATTAAATTATCTGCGTCAAGTAGGATAAATACAAATAGCTTTCATTTTGGCAAAATCTTTGCACGGAAACAAAGAATACAACGATTATCGTCAAGAAAAAAGCAAAAACAGTAATAATCTCATGTTTCTTCTTTAGTGCGAATCACAATGATGAGTAAAACTAGATATTTGCTTAATGCAACATTTAATCATGTTTACATGCATTCTATTCATCTATTGCATAGAATACATTTGATATTAAATGCAAGTATCTAAACTTTTCATACATTTCTATATATGAAAATGCTCGGTGTACCTTGATACGTCCAATTTTTGAAAACAAATCAAATAAATCGTTAAATTTGATAGTAGCAGGAAGATTTCTTATGAATATGGCGTCTTCTTCTTTCTGATTTGAATCATCAATTGAGAATTCTGAGACTGATGAAGCATCACTTTCATCGTTGGATTCATTTGTTGCTGCTAAAGCCATAGCAATCGTATATGAAGAAAGCTTGCTTTAAAAATTAACAAAAAACATTCACTTACTTGGTTGCAACTGATGCATCTGTTGTATTAGTTTTTTTATTTCGTTATCATGTTTTTGAACTTGATCGATCAGTTGTCGATTTTGAGCAATCAATGAAGATAATACTGGTCGTAAAGGTTCAAAAACACATGTTAAGAGATGACTTTGTAATTCATCACGTGGCCCTTTCCAGGGACATTTAATATCAGCAGCTTGACATGGAACTACTGATTTTGGACAAATCTTGTTGACATGATCCACAAAGCTTCCACGTTGTAGACCAGTTTGTGCACACAATGTGCACTGAACACGAATTTGATCAAGCATATTTCTTAAAGGACGGCTGGCTTGTGTAAGTTCATTGATTGATATGGGCTTTTTAAGACACATTGGACATGAACTCTTGTCGTTTTGATTAAGCCATTGTGTGATACACTCGCGACCATATGTATGATCGCATGGTGTGCAAACTGGATCTTTAAGAGCTTTATGACAAATGCTGCATATTAAATTTGGATCTATGGACTGTTCGTCCATGTATTCCATAAATTCAAAATCGCAGCTACTCGCCATCAGTAATATGAAGAAGATATCTATAAATAATAAGCATTCATTATTTAAATAATATAATTGATAATTGCATGTAATAAGTCGATTTGTATAAGAAATTAAAATGTGTAACACTCAATATTTTGTTAATATTTTCACCTTCTAGTTTCAAAATACATTAAACCACACAATTTTTACAACGGTCCAGGTCAGAGAATACGACAAGGAAACGGTTGGTCCCAGGGCTTCCCTAAAATTTCATGGAAGCAGTATTCTCAGACGGAATTCACCGGTTTTTTTCCGTTTTCTTTCTGATCATATCCGACCGAAAGTTGCGGGAAAAGTCCAGGAAAAAATTCTACGGTTTCCATTGACAATTCGACTCTTTGGTCCATAACCGGAAACGACTGACACTGACTTAATATCCAACGAATTTTGTACATCCAATTTCCCGACCGCTTCCTACCTACGTTTCCAACTTACTTCTCGTCAATTACTGAACTCGGAAGCAGGGGCATGGGTGTGGGTGTGGGTGTGGGTGTGGACGTGGGTGTGGGTGTGGGTGTAGGTGTGGGTGTGGGTGTGGGTGTGGGTGTGGGTGTAGGTGTGGGTGTGGGTGTGGGTGTGGGTGTAGGTGTGGGTGTGGGTGTGGGTGTGGGTGTAGGTGTGGGTGTGGGTGGGTGTGGGTGTGGGTGTGGGTGTCGTTGTGGATGTGGGTGTGGGTGTACGTGTAAATGATAGAAAAGCCATAATTACTGCATAGTGACACTTACACTCTTTCAAGAGAGTTCCATAGTGTCTTAGGAAACCCTGAGAAATCCTAGGAAACTCTGAGGAGACCTTCGAATTCTAAAGTGCCACCGAGAATTCTTGCGATTCGGAGGAGTTCAAGATTTCAGGATTTCGTGAGTTTATCCTTGAATAGAGTAAAATAGGGGTTGTCACTAATACAAACCCAATAATATGTATGAATTTCACATGCTACTTTTTCATAAATCTGAAGTAATAAATTGTTTCTCGAAAGAACTAATGACTTGAAGCCATTCGATTTTATGCTAATAACTAGAGGTACTACTTCGAACATTCGATGAAATAAAGTTTTGAATTTACATGTGTCTCTATTTTTTCGAAAGCTAATTACTTGTGCTATGCTACGTAGCTCTGTTTATGATGTTTGAAATACTCTTCGTAGTCTTAGAAATGCTTTTAGTAAGGTGCTCATTTAAGTCAAATAATGAAAAATCAGCCATACGGAGTCAATTTACCAGATGGTTTCTTCCGACTTGATCGAGTGTTCTGCAAGTCAGACGAGTGCGTTGTTTGTCAAATAACTCGTTTCTTATCTTTGCATCTTGATAGCATATCGATATTTTTTTGCCTAGTCTTTTCTTCGTTTTTCTATTTGAATACTTTTTATCTACACTTTCCACTTAGAAGCACGACATGTGATGACAACAAAATATTCAAGATAAAGAGCAGAAGACAATTAAACGTCAACAAGAAAAAAAGATATTTGCACAAAGAAATTCAGTTCATAAAAAGTGTACAAGCAAATACTTATTTCTGTACAATGTGCAACAGTTGACATCATTCAATAAGAAACAATAACTAATGAAGATGAACTTTAAGAGAAACCTATAACAAAATCTCGTTATGGACGACTAATAGACTACGAGTATTTTGAAAATGGCTCCATATTTTATGG